CTGGGTTTTGTGTGAAATGCTCGGTTGGAAGATTCTGGGCTTAGAAACAGAGAGCAAATTGCGTATATAACAACATTCAAGGATTAAAACACACAACATTTCCAAGAACTGATATTTGAAGGCAACACTAGCACAAAAAGTACCGGTAGAGTGGGTTAAATATGTTCGGTGCAATCAATATAAAACTGTTTAAAAAATATAAGAAAATTGAAATTCGTTAAAAAGGAAAATAATACGTTTATCCTTATATGCTATTCCAATCTTCACTCCCTAGGCCTAAACTATACATGCACAGTAATGGATAAAAAACGGGACTTTAATCACATAAAAACCGGAAACATAAGTAAGAGGATTTCTTAACACTGCAACAGCTAATAAAATATTGAGTGAAGAAGACATTTGTAGTTAAAACAATCATTCCATTATAAACATGAGCCGTGACACGTCATTCCAAACACAGGGCTTATTATAAAAAAAAAAAGGAAAACCTCGTCTAAGCTCGGAATTTTCGTATATTTCATGGTCGTTGTACATGCAATAACCTTGTTTGCAAACAAACCTTATATAGAATGGTATTTTGGCTGACTTGTTTTATACCAGTTGTTATTCATCTGCTTTAATTCTGAATTGACTACGGAAAATACTGTCTTTACCCGATCAATACATAGGCCCTGAAGAAGGACCTATCCTTTGCTGAAACGTCTCAAATGATACAAGAGATTCTTTGCCTCTATTTTTTTTTCTGGCTTTTCGTGTTGAACAATATCATTTTATATTTATATAAATCATGTATAATGTTTATCTACATAATATACTAGAATACTTTAAAGTTATATAAACTTTTGTCATGACATGCAGATGTAAGGTTTTTTTTTTCTTTATGTAATATTTCCAACGTAAATTTGAGAGCATACAAAATAGAGTGAGCATACAAAATAGAGCGAAAAAGTGAAACATAACGAAAAGTAGTTAAGATCAGAAGTCTATAAAACAATACAAAAAAGGAGCAGAGCAAACATGAACCTCTAAAACATCAGAGGTGGGATCAGGTGCCATGAAGGAGTGAGCATCCCCTGCCGACCGGTCACACCCGCCGTGTGTTCCTTGTCATGATCGGAAAATAACGAAAAAGTCCGTCGTCAATTCAGTGTATAAATAATGAACTAACAATTATATGGAAAACGTCAGTCAGCATTTGACTCGATGATAAATTGTATTTGCTGACAAGGTCATTGTATCGACCACAGAACTTATGAAATAATGACTTTAAAGGACAATTCTGATATTCTTGTTTCATCAACTTTTTTGTCAGTAATTTACCTCCTTTTTGAAATTTTTCATACGTAGAGCATGCTCTTGCGTATCGAATCAACTAAAATATATAATATATCCGTATGCAGATGATGAAGACATACTGCTGCATAAGTACGAAAAGTGGACGATATGTTTGAACAAAACTTGTAGTGATGAAATCTACTTTTTAAGCTTTGTCATAATATCTGCCAGATTGCCCTGCTGACATTTTAAATAAAAAGGATTCACTTCGAGATATCGAGAACTTCGAGAGATCGGAGTTCGAGCCATCGAGAGTCACCTCTACGGTCTTGATTTTTAAAATCTGTATCTTATTATTTAAATGTCCATACATGTAAGGCACTGCCGATGTTCAAATTGTGTTAAATAATCACTCTAATTAGATGGTCAACGTTAAGGTCAAAGGATGATGTATTAGAGTTAGTGAAGAATTGGGCATATTTCTGCGTTTGAGAACAGCGTGGACCAAACATTATGTATACAGTTATGCAGTTGGCGGTTTATCATGTTTTTAATGTAGAAAACCCTTAGTACTACAGTTGTTCTTTAACTTACTGAATCTCGATTTAAATATGTGATTGATATTAAATATCTTTATTATCTAGGGTAAACTATCTAGAGGTGTTTAGTATAATATTTTTCTGTTCTTGCATTTCAGTAAAAGTATATTATTTGGTGTGAAAATTGAAAAATTAAGAATCGTTCAATAGCACGCATTTATTCTACCAATGATATATCATGTCAAGAAAACACACAAGATATTGATATAAGTGTTTTGTGTCCTTTATGTTTGTGTGACTTCCTCAGACTGACATAAAGAGATCAATCTGTTATTGCCTCCCTAGTCCATCATGTCAAAATGAATTGAAAGGGTAAATGTATACGGCAACTCTTATTTCAGTAGGGGTGTTTCATTCGACATCTTGACCGTTTTTGTTTTTGCCTAAGTCCAATTTTTCTTGGGTGTTTGAAACCATAGAATATACTTTAGCGAAAAGAAAATCACGACTGAAAACATTTAAGGCAAGGATCACAAAATGGCTTACTACTTATAAACAGTTGCCCACAAGGTTAGAATGCTTGTCCTTGAGTGCTTTGAATCATCTTATAAGGGACATAATTTTATGCTGTTTTTATGAGTTCGTGGAAAAATAGACCTTACTTCTTACATGTTTAATGTACATGAAAAAGGTGTTGGCACAAACGAAACGAAAATATCACGTTCTGATCAATAACCGTAAGTGTGGAGAACATGTCTAAATTTGTTAGCAGTAAAGTAATCACGTTGAAAAGTTAGCACGCTCAGGTGATTCTCCATTAACTGATTCCATATATTCTCTTTCCCTTTACCCCTTGTTTTGACTCCAAAGCTAAACGTGTTCAGGCAAATTTTAAAGTCCTTCGAAATTTCACGGTGTAAAAATGGCCTTACAACGTTTTACCTCACGATTTTTTTTGTTTTTGCTAAAAACAGCCATTGTATCGTCAATAGTGCAAAATCTTCAGTCGAGAATTTTGATATCGATATTCATAGCAAATTATTTGCTAATAGCTTTTTTTCTAAAAAAAAAAATTGTTCGTAGTGCTTGCTCCTTGCGTATGGAGTTTGAAATTTTAGGGCTTAACCGCCACTGCAGGAAACGTGTTGAATGAAGTACGAGGGCTGTACTGTTCAATAAATACTGTCATCGGTGCTCAGAAAGAAGCAAAAGACGCTTTTCAATGATTTTGTCTTAATAATTTAATTTAATATTCTATTTCAATTAAAACACATGTCGATAAATTTCTTTATCCAACTTCTGATTGTTTTCAGTTTATCCCACAAACTCCTTTTTTCATGGCGTGCGGGTTTGACCCTGTCATGAAGAAATTTAATGTATTGGATTCATAATTCTGGTTCTGGAAAATGGCAAAAGATTTTCTTATGATTTCCAGAAATAAAATGCCTCCCCGAATATGAATTTTAACAACAAGACCACTAATATTTAAGAAAATTGCATATAAATCTGTCTTTGTGAAAGATGTTTTTTTTGTCAAGTTTGGAAAATGAAACAAACATTTACTCATAAAGGATGGAGATAATTTCATGAAAATTCATCAACATTTTATAAAGAACGAATTAAACAATTATGCAAAATTTGTAATTTCTATGGGAAAAAAACATCACTTTAAGTTTATTTTACGTCACGTCAGCCGGAGATGGTTTTGCATGTAAAACGATCGCGAAGCGATTAATACTTTTCATGGTATTGCGTGCAGGTTTTTCCTTTGGAAAGGATGCTGTCATGAAATGCCGATTAATGCAACGCGGGTCAACGATTAATGTAACGATATTAATATCGTATGTAATAACTGATGGTTGTCCGTTTCTTTTGATTTCACTCTGGTTGAATTAATTGTAAAAAAAAAAATGTATGTCAATGAAAAAAAACCCAACACATTATTTTTTTTTCGTTGTTATTGTTTTAGCAGCTCGTCCTGTCTGGAAAAGAGTTTTTGCAACACACAATTTTAGATTTGCTGCTTTGACGTCAAAATCCATTTTTTCGTTCTTTGCAGATTTCTCTAATTTTTTTAATTATCTCCGTATTTGTGATCAAAATTCCAAAGTTGCACAACATGGTAAATAAAGCTTTATACACATAAACTGAATTATTTTCACTCTTATATGGGTCCACGAAGAAAATTGCATATAAATCTGTCTGCTTGTACTCTTGTACAAAAATATTTAATATTTGTAAAATATTTTTTGCTTTTATTTATTCTAAGTGTATGTCAAACGTATATGCAAAATTTCACTGAAAGACCATTTACATACAATTTTAATTTTCGAACAACCCTCGTACATCTTATTGTAAATTTTGTTTCGATGCTTTTAAGCAATAGATTCAAGTTTCATTATCTGTTTGAATTTCAAGCAAACTTGGATAACTACAATTTTTCATTAATAAAAAATTGTTTAGATACTCTTACACGCTGTCGTTTTCACTCATTTTCCAAAACATTTGGTGACATTTAATTATTAAGCGTTTTTACTGTCAAACGTTTCTTTAAAACAGTGTGAACTACTCCCGAAATGATGTCTATCAATTTTGATATGTGTCTTAAAGTCAATCATACATCATCAATGATTATTTGTTGAAAATTGGCAAAGAGTACATGAGTTGTTATAATTTTTGTTGACAAGGACGGTATCCATTTTTGATGCCCATTATATATTTTTTTTATCATCTAAATCCCACTGCTCAACTGTCTATAAAACAGACACTGGTTGCCGTAAATGTTACATATTTCAGTGAATATTGTACAGCAGTTTTCATGAAACGTTTCATTTCACTCTAGTTTACTTATTCTTTACCATTCATTTTGCATGCAGTGTCTGGAACAGCCCTTGTTTTCCAGCTTCTAACAGTGAAATTATGTGATGAAAAGTGGTCACATAAATTCTTAAAAATTCATTAAAGATTCAATAATGCGAAAAAGTCAAGCTTAATGTCATATGATATCTGTATTGTATGTCATACAGTTCAGGACATTACTTATTGAACATTCCTCGTACATTTAGGTGCAAAGGGAGTCAACTCTATCCCATCCCTGTTTCATCTCTTTCCACAAAAAGAAAAAGAAATTGTCCGCTTATAGAATATTATCCATTAAAACCTTCATTAAGAATATGTCAAAGACAATTAACAACAAAGGCACAAAATTTAATTATTTTTTTGTAATAACAATAATGATAGAACATAGTTTTTTTTTTTGTCTTTCGTATAAAAATACAGAAATCAATTTTCGTTCAATTTATATATGTCAACAAATACCTTAGTGAACCCTGTTTAGATAACATATTTTCTAGAATATATGTAACGAAATTCAATTAAGATAATTATCTGTAGTTTTAAAAATACAAAGATCAATATTTACATGAATCGGTAAAAAAGACCAGAAAATACCCCAATTGAAAGTTATTCTTTCATTGTTTTACTTTGGCATAACACATTTTTATCGCATACAAGTCAAATAATCAACAAGAAGCTATAAGTCAACAACATAATATATATTTGACAATGTAGACCAATATCTTCAAAATTTCATGGTACCTGGGTAACAAATAACATAATACCGTGGATTTTTCATAGCTTAACACGATAGGTAAATTTATCATTTTGGAGAAATTGCACATCCATATCTATTTTATCGAAATCTTTTATTTTGAAGTCAGGCATTAAAAAATATCTGAGTTTTATATTCATTTAGGAGGCTTGAAAATCCACTAAGAATGAAAAGCTCAAAATTGGGAAAAGCCAATTATGGAGATAAGTTTGTAACTGATATGGCAATAGCTGAGACATATCAATCGATAATATAATACTAATTGAAGCAATTCAACAATTTTTATATCACAAGAGGGAAAAAAATTCAAACTGCTGAATTGGAAGGAAAGACAACTCAAAAATTGATACATTACGAAAAATTTTCGATCTTAAAATTCTTACAAATTTTATGTTTAGTTAAAAACATTTATAATGAACCGAAGGCTCGCAGCAAACTGGAATTTTATTTCCGTGTCTTTTAGGTATTGAATAAAAATAAAGTATAAAATGACTTACATTTATAACAAATCAAATTTGTCATTTTCCAACAATTATTATCCTGCTTCAATGCTTATTCAAAATTTTAGTTCATCCTCCTTTCTGTTCGCAAAAAATGCTTCTGTGACGAAAAATAATCATGTTCATGATCAAAAAGTTGCTTTTTTTTGTAAATCAGAGTATATCCCTCAAAAATGAATAAGATTCAAAAACCACAGCTCCATTCACAAGATACAATAAATATACAACTTAACGTATAATTGGATGTTTATCAATTCACATAATGCAATATTCTATTTGTGGCTATATACAGTGAAAGTTAAAACTTCAGTTTTTTCTTTTCTTACACAATTAAGCATGGCATAAATAAAATATATTTTGACAAATAAATACGTTTTACACACTGGAATGTAATTTCCTCAGACATTTAACGTCTTTTACATTTTAATCTGCTTTTCTTTTGATCCCTTTTCTTCTGTTGTTTGGTTTTCTGCAAATAAAGAGAAAATAAAGTTGTTTTCTGTTATCGAACAGTATTTACAAATTATTACTAAGGGCAAAAATCAAAAGTTGGTTAGTAGTAGCTCTTTAGCTCCGAAATGGCAATATCAAGGTAAGCTTATGTTATTTGCTTTCTAACTTGAATTCAACACACACACAACAAATGTGTTTTTAGAATCTATGAGCATATTGATAAAAATTTACAATAAATATTGACACATATCGCATCGAATTTACTTGACAGACAGACAAGTGAAGACATGCCATTGTATGACAAAGAAATAATGAGCAAAATTGAATTTGCAAGAGTTAAAGCATATGCTATAGTTTTAAAGCTTGGAATATAGGTGTGCAGATCAAATTTTCGGGATGAAATTTGGCAATTCAATTATTGAAAAGTGACAAAAAGTGTACACAAAGGTAATTGAATAAAAAATATCTGCCATTCAGTGCTCTTCCCAGACCTTTCCGTGACGATGTTTTTAATAGAGTTTTTTTTAGATTTATTCTTGTATTTTAATTTAGAAATAAAGGGGAATATATCTCTTTTTCACAGGATGAAAATATGCCATTCAGTAAAATGAGATGTGACTGAAGGTCCAGATCGACTGATAGATTACTGAACTAGATCCACTGATAGATTACTGAATTGTAGAGCTCTACAACCTAAGGACCATTCCAGCTAGACATTTCAGTTCTCAGAATCATGAAATGTCATCTTGTGTTTTGTTTAAATGGCATTTTATTTCTTGCAGAAATTTTGTTTAAGAATAAGGTACCTTTGTCTTTCCCATCTTTTGACTTCACTTTCTCCTTTATTGTTTCTTTTTCTTCTGTTTTCTGGACCTGACCTTTGTTGACCTCGTCAACTCTGTCTGAGGATACCGGAAATGACGTGTCATCCAGCTGAGTGTCCTCATAATCCCCCAGAGGGCGCTTTTCAAGACTGTTCAAAACCTCATTGGCAAAAATATCATCTGTAAATTAAACAAAACCAAAAATGGAAAAATATTATCTGAGAATGAAAATAGAAAATTAAATCTTGAACTGATTTTTTTAAAATTTTGATCTATCAACGATATTTTATATATATGAGGAGAAGGAAAAAATTGTTAAACATTAATTCATAAAATTGTAACATGAAAGGAAAATCCGGATCAAGATATTAGAAAAAAGTATTTGATATCTCTTATTTTGTAGGTCCATTTCTGTACGCATGTATTTCTCACTTACAGAGTATTTCTCTCATTTGAGACAGGTCATCCGGGTTGCTGTCCTGAGAAACATGGCGGAGAATGTCACTCAAAAGGGCGGCCGCCTCAGGATCACCTTAATAAAAGAGTTAAATGTTCTTTTAGGTTTGAGAATAAATATCCTTGTGAAAACTGACACATCTAAAAATCTGAAAATCTAACGCATTTATTTCAGTTTACATGTGAATCTTTGTTTTCATTTCATTCATACTTTAATATTTACATTAGCTATGTTTTTGTAGTTAGCCTACAGTGAAATTGATTTGAATACCATTTTCGTGTAAACTCACACGTAGAAATATACACGGAGAAACGTGTGTTAACGTGACGTCACAGTGAGGCTACACAGACGTCAGAAAAATGCAACAAAATTAGGCAGCAAAAAAATTCAAATATTGAGTATTTTTTTTTTTATGCTTTAAGACATGGAAAATGTTTTTATTGTTCTTCATAATGTGTAACGTATATGTAACTGACATTTCATCTACTCCAACATGTTAATGTTTCCCAATTCATGCTATACTAGCTAGGTTTCACATTTACTATAATCTCATGAAATGACACATTTATCACGTTGGTAAATAATAAGCAACATGTACCAGCTCATCATTAAAAAAAATTGTAATTTGATAATATGGACATTTCCACAGGACAAGGACACGTATTGTTGATAAAGGTACAGCGGATGCAGGTTAAAAAAATTTGGTTGCTTCATTTCTTTTTAAGATCATGAAATGACATATAATAAAGGGATTCAGCTTCATTTCTCGATCAAATATTTCGATCTGAAGGCGAATCCAGTAGAATGCTTCATTAGTTTCTGATAAAATTACATTATAAATAGGTTCTGTCTATTTTGCAACCATGAATGAATAATTTTATAACCAATTTGTGAAAAAAAGGATAAAGTAAATATATCATGATTAAATCAGTTCAGCTTATTGATAAAGAGTTCAAGAACTGTTATCTGTAAGTATATATTATTTTAAAGAAACTTTCCCAGATTTCCCTACCAACAAATATGGTGAAAATAACAATTCTGCAGTAATTGTGAAAATAAACTTCTTGCAGAGAGCTTAACAAAAATAAAGCAACTTCTCTTCAATAGTTTTTTTTAAAAATAGTCTTTGTGCAAACGTTGCTATTACTTTGTCAAGTTAGATCATAGTTTAGAATGTGTCATTTGTGGTGTATCAAAGTTACAACTGAAGACTTTAAGAAGGAACTGCGCTCGCCAATACTGTCACAGCATAAACGGTAGCTATGGTAAAGAAAATAGTTTGGAGCATCTTTTGTCTTAAAATACATATGCTAGTCATGAAAAAAGTTTATTATCAAATATTTGATAAATCATTAGATATCTACCTGTCATGGTGGCTTTTGCCAGCCATTCGTCCATAAGCGTTCTAATGACTTCGATCAAAGAGGAAGCACGTGACAAGGCGACTCTCATGATATCTCTGCTCTGTAACTCATCAATTCCTAAGTGGGGTATGACGTCACTGTATCCGAACATCCGGTAGATGTCATTCAAAGTGGAATAATCACTTAGGAATCTTTGATTTGGTTCACCTCTTTGCATGTTCTGATAAAGACATTTCAAAAACAACTCCAAAATTTTTTTTCATTATTACAATGTGATTTATGCGTTTGGTAGAATTCAGAAATGAATGTAATATTTTTTTCCGTTGACAAAGGTATCAAAGAAAAAAAATTAGGCGGAAAATGTCATCAATGCTAGTAGCATATATCAGGGAAAACCCCCAATAGAAATAAAAGAGCCTTTAACACCACCCCCGCCCCATTTGGCATTTCCCATCAAACGTAAGATGAAATGAAAGTAATAACTTCCGTTTACCATATTTGCGGCGGAAGCTTGATGAACCAGGAGGTTGTATTCCTTCCTCACGTCCTCTCTGTACGTGTCAGCCTGCTGCTGCGTCATCTGAATAAAAATGGAAACAAAATTATCATGTATTTTTGGGCGGGGCGTGAACTAAGTCCCCACTTTTATTATTGTAAGTATTTAAAAACCTTAACATTAACTAACTGAGTTGTTCACAATTTTGACTTAATTTTTCAATGATTGCCTATTACGGCCAAAAAAATTGGAATCGAATGTGTAATTACTCATCCATGACTGTTTTTGTTAAAAAGCATGAAGTGCGAGTTTCATATGTTTTTGGTTGTATCTTCCATTTATTTGAATTTTCATGTATTCTCCATCTTTAGTTGTTTAGTAAAAACAGAAAAAAAGCTTGTTTAAAATGCCGTATATGTACGAAAGACAATGTGCAAATGAAGTTGACATGGTCCAAGCTGGTGGTAGTAAAGGAAAGTTGTATTTCCTTCGTTTGTATTTGTTTATTTTATGTAAAACGGTTAAAAATACCGTCAGGAAGATGCACAAAACTTACTTGTATTCCTTATAATCATTAAAAATTGCTAGATTTTCAAGAAATACCACTTAACCATCCTAGAGTATAACCGGAAATTCACTCAAACCAGAACCGGAAGTGCCCATGGTCAAGGCGTATACACGTAGTGCAACGACACATCAACAGGGCTACTACATAAGAAGTACTAACTTAACTGTGGAAGGAACCTATCTGCACGTGCAATTGCTCTGCACTTATTAAAAAATAATTAGTCTCTTTAATTATCCAAATTATCAGAAACAAACTGGAAGAGTGGGGAATACGTGTAAGGAGACCTTATGTACTGTAGGATTAATATTGTCGGGTACAAACAATTTCGGTAAGCTTCAATGTCATCCACATCTCAACCCTATAGAACATGAATGGGACAAGATGGACCAGAGACGGAGCGCTTTTCCAGCAGCAGAATCTAGCGGAAATATAGAGGACGACCTAGTCCATACATGGAATAACCTTCAATAAAGATTTTTTCTTTAATTGTGTTAACTCTTTGAGAAGCAATTGTCTTGATCTTAATTCGTTTGAACGGAGGATAAAAAAGTATTGAACGTTGCGAATTTTTAATTCTAGGGTGCCTTCGCTCTTCTGCATTTTGTGTTAAAGTCCTTCAATGAAATTAGAATAAGTGAAAAAAAAATATTTTGCTTATTTTTATCCTGTATAGTTATTAATTTATATTGTCCAAATTACTTAATATAAAAGCAGTGTAAAACAAAAACTTACGTGGGGACTTAAAAATTTTGATTAGTATATATAATCGAGTATTTAAGTTGGCGGGGCGTGAACCGAGCACCTGTGAATAATCAAGCATTTAAGTGGGCGGGGCGTTAACCGAGTACGTGTGAAAAATCAAATATTTAAATGGGCGGGGCGAAAATCGAGCACGAGAACTTCATGAAAATGATTAGTAAACCTTTTGTTTGATCACGTCATAAAACCAAACAAATACATACAGTAGTATACCGTTCTATGGTAAAACTCAGTTGACTTTGATATCGTTTACAGGGAAATTTTCGTTCCCTCTTTTTGTCCCCCGCTTGAAAAGTGGGGGATATTAATTTGGGTTTGTCCGTCCGTCCGTCCGTCCGTCCGTCCGTCCGTGTTTACGAGAGTGCATTTATTGGGTATTTTTCATGCCAAGATTGTACTTATTGGGTACTTTTTGCTTATTGGGTATACCCAATAAGAAGTGTCGCTGAATATGCTTAAAACACCCTAATTGGGTATTTGCAGGTTAGTACCCAACAAAACTTGGACACGAAGATTTGTCCAAAAAAGTGTCCAAAAAAGTTGCTTTCACGGACGCACCGTGTTTCGTGTTTCAGTTTTACATTCGGAACTCTAAATTCTCGAGAGTTCCGAAAATCAACTTCCGTTGATCCTGATCATAACAACGTTTGTTTTCATGGAAAAAAATATGGCGACTAAGAAACACGTAATGTCAACAAGATTGTCTGATTGACAAGAGAAAAGTAAGTTTATTCGATTAATATTTATCTATTGCTGGGTTCTTGTTTAAGGAAAATTGATTTTAATCTAATTTTGAAAACAATTGAGCACAAAATTAAAATAGATATATCGGAACAATTAATCCTAAGTTGCACTTGTATGTATTTTGAATTTTCTCTGTCTTTTTAAACTCTCTTGAGGGCGAGAAGTATTTAGTAAATGATCGTATATTGTTAGATAATATTTAATAAATTGCAAGTGTTAATATTTAATTTTAAATCATAACCAACTAAGTATGTTCTGACAATGTATATTGGAAAGGGAAATGAAAATTTTAACAATCGTGTGTTCATAAATCAGCTGTAAATTATCGGTTCATGTAGACAGTATTACAATCGCAAAGTGAGCTGAGATGATGATAAATGGGATAATTGACAACAACTAAATAATTGTATGTAAGTTTATCTCGTCTGATATGTAAGAGATTCATTGTATTACTGAAAAACGTTCAGTCAAAACAGTGCTTCTTTCTGTCTTTGATTTTGAGTGTCTGCTTTATTTTGATTTTTTTTTTAAATTATTGTTTTTGGCATTTGTTTTAATTAATTTAAAACAATACTGATATTGATATAGGGCTACTATAACTATTTCACTTGATGGGTGTGTAATTAGCATCGCGCTACACCCGGGGCTTCCATTTTTGAGGATGGGGCTAGTGGTTTTCTGCATTGAGAAATCCCCTTGGGCTATTAGGAATTTTAAAATACACATGTAATGCATGAAAAGCACCACCGGTATTTTCACTCCTTTTTGCTATTAAATTCCCTATATGGAAATATTCCAGACAGCATGCTCCTATTATCCATAAATCTCCGCAACTGCATCCATTTTGCAGTACTACCAGACTGATTTACTTAAAAACGATCTTTTTTTTTTCCTAATTTGAATTTCCCCCTTTCTTTTGTTTAATATAGCAATATTTGCATGTACTTATATGCCTCACAGATATCTCATTATTAAATTATATACATTTACTCAATCAGCTCAATGACAAGTGTCATGCAATTATGTTGCGCTTTTTTTATTTAAAGCCATATATGGCGTAACTGATCAAAAAATATATTTTTGAAAAATACAAAATTAAGTAAAGAAATATAGTTAATACATTTAAATTAAAGCTTTTCATACAATTCGGAGCACGGAGAACACCTCGTTTCATCTAATAATACGATTTTATCTTCTTTGTAATGTGTTATTAAATCTTTTGTATTTTCTTCCAAGTCGGAGAAAATTTCGAGAATCCAAATTAAATTTTGATATCTTTATAACGCAATTGACTTAGATTTTGTAATTTACGGAAAATTTTTATCTTTATCATGTTTATATGAATTAATGCATATTACCAGGAAATTCCGATTCCATTATTTTTTCTGGGAATTTCCGCACTTCTTAACTTAGGCATTTGGCCATACCTTCAATATAGAGATGAACAATTTGTCAGCGCAACTGCTCATAAACCGTTGCACAGAATTTCGTCAAACTTTGCAGTTATTTAGGACACAATATGTAGATGTGCATATTACCAGGAAATTCCGATTCCGTTATTTTTTCTGGGACTTTCCGCACTTTTTAACTTAGGCATTTGGCCGTACCTTTTATATAGAGATGAACAGTTTGTCAGCGCAACTCCTCATAAACCGCTGCACAGAATTTCGTCAAACTTTGCAGATATTTAGGACACAATATGTAGATGTTCATATTACCAGGAAATTCCGATTCCATTTTTTTTCTGGGACATTCCGCA